CGTTCTTGAGCTCACGCTCGGGCTGCCCGAGTTGTGCCTTAAAGGCAGCCAGCAACTAGCCACAAGTAAATTTACATATTTTAATTATTCATGCATTTTTAAGATTGATAAGAGGCGCCTTTTTTACCCCTCCTACAGAGCTTGTGGCAAGGGTCGATTGCGACTTGCTGCCTTGACTCGTAAGTTGACTAGAAATGCCATTTTTCCACTAGTCAGCATCTGAGAGCATTAGCTGGACTTTTAAGACATTTGCATCCAGTTGTTGTTATTTTTAAATTATTAAATAGCTGAGACGCTGTAATTTGTAAAGACAAATTCAAGGCAGACAATGTTGTCGAAGTGTTAGGTTAAGAATATTTTTTAAAATATTTTGATTGACTTTAAATTTCAATTGATACCAGAGAATGATTCTGAGAAGATTCTCACTTAATGGCAAATAGGTTAAACACTTGTAATTGTTATACTTTTATGTTATGCAAATGTAATACATTTCCTTGACATTTGCTTAAAAGCTGACAAGTGAAAACATTTGCTGTTTAAACACATTTTTTATTCACTTGAAAACTCGGAGCCAACTTTTCGTTGCGATGATTATTCAGAAAACTTTCTGCGACCAGCAATTGAAAACAAATCAAAGCAAGCCAAGCCAGCCTATTACAGTCAACACTTGTCGCGCTGTTCAAACGTATTTATAGGCCTCGTCGAACTCGTGGGCAAACACAAATGCGGGCAGCTTAGCAAAGTTTCAAACCCAAAGAAGTATCTGTGACAAATTCCAAACAAAACATGCTTCAAAATTGAGTGTTTATTGTGTTAAGTAGACACACTCGCACACAGAGCGAGAGCCCCAGAAGCTGTCGGATAGAGTGAAAAGTATGCGATGCCTGTGGCAACAGAGTAAATAAGCAATTTTTTCTTTTTGCCTTTTTTAGTGGTAGCAGCCGGAAAAAAGGCAACTGGCTGAAGATGTTAGACAATGCCAACAATAAAGCCGCAGGCACAAAAAATCGACATAGAGGGAGCAGCATAAGAAGAAGCTATAACAAAGTTGCATCCGCAAGACGCTAGACAGAAATTTGTGGGCAGTCAACACTTCCTGTGAGCACACACTCCCTCTCTCGCTCCCTATCGCTGCCTCTTAATCTGCTGTCTAGGCGTGACATGAAGCAGCCCATTGATCAGCCTAATAAAGGGCCAACGTTTGCCTAATTGCTGTCGCTTCCAACTCCTCCTGCTCGAGCAGAGATATGTATATACTACATATCTTATATTGCACTTGGACAAGGGACTTCGCTTGCAGCACAATTGAAGAGTCGAGTGAGTGGGCTACGAGGAGTGCCCAAGTGCTCCCTAATGATAGCAGTTAATAGTTATGTCTGATACCAAATTGATTGTGAATAAGTGAAGAATGGGATTGGGAGCCGACGATGCACAATGGCCGTAGAATTAAGCACAATGTGAGCATGATTCGAGTGGCACATAAACTGAAGTTGAGCTTCATGTGTGCCAAAGGAATCTTGAGCAAAGTGGCGAAAGGGACATCTTATTGAATGCAGCAGCTGTTCAGGAAACAATACCTAAAAATATTCCTTTTATTATGCTGATAATCAAATTAGTTTATTTTATTATAATTGGAAACGAAAACAATGAATGTGTATATATATATATCCATAGATATCTTCGATCTAGTTAAGTGTATTTAAAGATTATTTGAATATCAAATTCAGTATTTAATATCGAAGAAGATTTTAAGCATTTGTCTGGTTGGAGGTAACATGTTTCTCGAGGCACGTTCACACTTTGATATATATATAATATATATATTTGATGCAGTACCCACATCATGCTGTCTAATACAAAATGCAGTACAGTTGCGACCATAAAATGTTTACTGATTACAGTTATAGGGCAACAACTTGGCAGGGGCAACAAATTTTGCTGACTCGCTGACTATCGCCCTGTCTCCCTCTGTCTGGCTGACTGTCAGTTTTCCCTCTCTCTCTCTCTCTCCCACTCTTTGTGTGATAACTGACGGCCAAGCTGACGAAAGTGGATGTATGTATGGCAATGGCTTCTTCTGCTGCTACACAGTTTGTCTAACTGTCAGTGCATTCGTGATAGTTGCATGTGTATCCACTGACAGACGACATGCAGCATAGTGAGAGACTGAGACAAGAAGAGAGAGAGAGTGAGAGAGACAGACAGAGCGTGTGAGAAGGTGGCTTACATCTTATTAAGTTTGCATTACGAAGCGGCTGTCCGGAAGCTGGTCTGGTCGTCTTCTTAGATGCCAGAGTTTCAATTTCGCTGTCCAGACCATGCGCCTGTCGAAGACGATTTTAACATATATAGAAATGCAGCAAACTCTCATCTTCTATTACTATCTGCCTTCCTTTCCCTACTACGCCTTCTCTGACTACTCAGTACAATTTAATTTAATTTTTTTTTCTGCTTGTCGTAGACATTTGATAATGCTGCTGCTGCTATTCCTGCTGTTGCTGTTCGTCTGACTGACTGGGCAGTAAAATGTTGCAATAGCGAATCTACTGGAGCAAATGGCATAGAGCCACGCCTACATGCTGCCCCCAGTTGTCTGGCCGTTATGCGCTGGCGCACTTTTATAAATTTTTAAACTTATGACTCATTTTTATGCATTTCCAGTGACTGCACACTGAAACAAATGTCTGCAAGGGAGCCCAGACAGGATACTCATCTACCAGCTCTCCTTACTGGCTGCTGCTGCTGCTGCTGCTGGCAGTCTTTGCCTAATGCGTTCTAATGCAACAATAAATCATTGGAAATCCATTTATATTGTCAACACAAGCCTGACAACTGGCGACTCGCATGCTCGAGGACCATTAAACGCCTGCTGGCAAGCAATAAAAATGAAAACAAGCAAAGCAAGTTAAGGCAGTGCGAGGCAGAAACACCTTCGCCTTGTTGCTGACCTTATTAATGAGCTATCAAACAAGGCAGAAAGTTAAAGCCAACTGGACAAAGAAACCAAAATGTAATACGAAAAGGCAACACTAATTCAAGATACTCTAATCATAAAAGACACAAATAAAAATAATAAATTAAGTTAAATTTAAATTTATTCTTTTTTAGTTTTCTATATAAAATAAGTTATAAAAAATACGCCAATAGGATCAGACATTTCAATATAAATGCTAATCCCGAAATAAAATAAATATAAATAAATAAAAACTAAACAAAAATATTTTAATATATCCGAGAAATGAATTTTTTAGTCAGGCTATAGGATATAGGGTCAGAGAGATTTAGAACTCCACAATCCAAAGCGCGTGTGGTCCAAATTCTTGTTTGTGTATATTTGTGTATATATTCAACAAAATCACATACTCTGCATAAAATATTTGAGTATAAAATGTTTTTGTCAATACCCTGTACATATATATCAATGAAAACAGTAAATATTTATCACAAATGACAATTTGTTTAATATTGTAAATAAATAACATAATATTTTGCGTTTTTACTTTATTTTAAATTCTATGAAGCCGAGTGTCAGAATTATAAAAGGAATTTGAATATATAAAGCCGTATATTGTTATGAATATATTTTCATTTTAGTATAATAAATAATAATATTTAAATCTATGTTGCTAAAGCTTGTTTAACAGAATTGCACACATTAATATTTTTTAATGTAGTTTTCCCGCAAAAGCTGCTGTTGTGTGGCTTCATAAGCTAAGCTGCTTTTCGGGCACATTTTATGAAACAGAGTTCAATAGGCTCATGAAGTAAACTCATGAGTATATAAATATATATACATATGTATATATTTACATATGTAGAGAGAGATAAAGTCAGTGAAGCAGACACACAAAACAAAACAGACGCTGAAATTAATAAATAAATTAATAAATTACAAATAATTTATCACGAAACACACGCGTATTGGCAGGCAGTTGTTCTATAGCTATTTGTGTGTGTGGGTGTGTGTTGTTGTGTTTGTTTGTGTGTTTCTTAATAAGTCTATTAGAGAAATGAAAATAAATTGCGTGCTTTCAGTCGACTGCCAGTTGCCAACTGGCAGGACGGGGCGTTGAGCCCAAACCTGGCGTCCCATCGATTGCTAAAGCTGCCAACTTGGACAGACAGCGTCAAAACAGCAGCAACAACAACAACAACAACAATAACAGCAACAACAAAAGCCAAATTCAATTATAAATGCGTGTAACAGGCATTGACTCGGTGTGTGCGTGTGTGTATCCTTACTACTAAGTGCAAGTGATTAATTTTTGACAGGCACATTTGTTGTGCGATATTGAAAACAATCAATGCGAAATGTATGGACGCTCCCCCTAAATGGCCATAGATATATACACACACGTATATAAGTAGATAAATATATATATACTTATATCTATAGATATATGGGATTTATTGATTGACTCTCGCATAAAATATGTATAAATGCTGCGTGTTTTGGCCGCAAGTCAAGGAATTGATAAACAATTAGTATAAATATAGCATAAATATATGTAGAAACGGGCCAATAAAATGTTTTAAGCATCTGTCGAGCATAGCTGCAAATGTAGTCAGAAATAACAAATAACAAAAGTGTGTTTCTCTTTTGGGAATAACCAGCTGCTCAATATGCCTCGCAGAAGAAACCTTGGGACATTTACATATTTGAATAACAATCTATGGAAAGAAACATCACATTGAATATACATTTACAAAAAAGCAAACAAATTGACTGAAGGAGTGGAAAATGAATATTGTTAAGACGTGTAACATGGCAGCTACATATATTGAGGTATATATATATGTGTGTGTGTGTGTGTGTGTAAGCCAACTCTCAAAGGTCTTTAAAAAGTAGCTTAATGATGATTACTTAATTACATTGAGCAGCAAAATAATCTGATAAATTGTTTTTAGTTTAGTGTATTCTGTCAACTAGTTTTGTTTTTTACAGATATCGAGTTGAGTTTTAAGTGCAACTGTCAACTTGTATTCTATTATTGAGAAGACTTAAGTGCAGCTGACAATTTGTTTGCTTGAGCAAGAACTCTCCGCTGAGCGCGTCAACTGTAGCTGTTGAAATGACTGCCAACCTGCTTAAATAGTTTGGATGGCCTGAATGGTTCTCGAGTGGAACTGCCAACTTGACGTGACTCACAATTGAAAACTAACTTGCTTAAAAGGTTATCTACGATAGCAGTTGGAATGAGCTTTCTCAAGTGGAGCTGCCAAACTCAACTCACCTCCAAAATTTGTATGTATTCTTAAAACTATGCAAGTGTCTTAAAGTATGTTTTTTCAAAGGTGTCAACTTGTTGTTGTCTCTGTGAGCCATGGTGAGTGAAACTGGCAACTTGTGTGTCCTGTTTTCATACAATGAAATAAGGTCATATAAATAAGATACTACTGTCAACAGAAAACTCGACTTGCTTCAAATGCTCTTAATGAATGTGGATGTAAAGTGAAACTGCCAACTCAATCCAAATGTTGTCAGTTAGTGGAAAGCAGGTGAAGCCATGTGAGTCAGACAAATTGTGGTTAAATAAGTGAAATAAAGAGGTGAATACAGTTCAAATGGCAAGTACATATAGCTTCAAGAGCGGCAAAGTACTATACATTCAAACGAACAAACAGCTGAAGTCTTCTCTTTTCATTGTGCTGATTGCTTCTACAAATGTTGGCATATATCGAAACTATTTTAAGGTAAAAATACTTTTGTTTAATTACTGATTTATTTTTCATTTTACAAGAAAACACCTCTAGCTGCTTTTACCTCAATGCTTGAACATTTTATTTGCATTAGCACCTGCTGCTCTCATAACTCCATCATCATCCAACTCAGTCTCGTGTATCTCATAACTGCCCACACTGACCCGTGTCCATTGTTATTTAGGTGTTTCAAGCATAAATCGTTGTATTTAATGCCTCATACCCCACTCATTCGTCCACCTACACCACACTGCCATCCATTCATCCAGCTGCTGATTTTTGTTTTTTTTTTTTCTTTTTTATCAGGCAGCACGTTTTTACGAGTATCTTTCGTGGCCCAAAAAGCTGAAATGTGCGTTTTGGGTAAAATTATGCCATAAGCCACGTGCTGCGTACAGAGCAGTAGCGGAAAAAAAAAACAGAAAATACCAAAAATTATATCGCTGGCTGTGCCCAAAACAAAGCACAGTGAAGCCTCTAGAAACCGCCGCGCTATGGCCATAATGCAAATTTATGATCAGAATTCAATTATGTGCTTATTGGAACGCAGCTGCTGTGCTGTGGGTCCCTCCTCTGCTCCTACCTGAGAGCAGGCAGTGTCCTGCTGAGCGGAAAAGGCAGTTAATGCTGCGCAGTTTAACGCTTAAAGCCAAAATGCTATGATTTACACACGCACACACAGCAGAGACAGACACGCAAAAGCAATTGCATTTGTGGCTTAAAGTGCGTGGCTCGCATTTTATGAGGCGCCCACACACCTCGAAGAGGCGTGGCACTGGCGTCATTAAACCAGTTAACAAATAAATACTTTGCGGCCTCTCGTCACAGCCAAAGGGCGTTGGGAGGTAAGCCCAAAAGGCGCTGCTCTGCGACTTTACGACCTTGTAACGCTCCACAATTTTATGCCCTACACCAGGGAATGCTGATGCAGCACGCGCAGCAGAGGAAGCATATTAGCTGTGGCAGGGCATGCATGCGTCACAATCAATGCTTAAGCTCAGGTAATGTTACAGATAAAGTCGGGTAATAGATATGAGGGAATTTCTTATAATTAGTATGGAAATATTTAAAGAATGTGTGGTGTACGTAAACAACAGTCGACAACTCGTGTCGATCGTAACTAGCTCTAACAAAGCTGAATTACCAGTAAAACTACGGCAAGTGATAAACAAAAGCATTGAATAGAGTGAGAAGGGAATACAATAAATTTAAAAAAGTATTAGATTTGATTATCTTAAATTTTAGAAAAAAATTTAGAAAAAAAATTTATTTTAAAATTAGAAAAATCTTAAAAGTAGACAAGTAAAGTGAGGGAGATTGCCAATTCTATATATCCCATAACTAATTTGCCTTTAAAATCTTTACGAAAGATTTGCAAAGGAGGAAAAGGCAAGATACAAAAATGAAAGAGAGCGAGAGTATAAGTATACAAATATAGTATTAGATAAGAAGAGTTATTCTATACGAAGAGCTGGGAGGAACCTAAAAGTACAAGGGAAAATATGGGACATAAAAAAGCAACCTGGATTTCATACATAACATGAAAGTGGGCAAAAAGATACGTAATATACATAACGAGGCATTTGGAAGAATAATTTATAGAATATTATATAGAATTATTTAAAATAATATCTAGGGTTTACGTAAGAGTTGGCGCTACATGGATAAGATTGGTCTCTAACTGACGCAAAAAGGTATAAAACAGAGAGCGCACATAAACATTTAGTGGCTTTCAATTGAATAACTTGTATCACATATGACTTCATGTCGTCCGACACGCTTAAACTCTTTAATTTCTCTCTGTGTAGAGCATCTTAGAGCTCAGTTTCAGGAAAGCGCAATGTTCGCCACAATTCGCTTGGTTTTATTGACAGCCTTGTATTATATTCCGGACCTTTTGGCCAGCCTTTAATTGAGCCCAACGCATAGTGCGAACAAGGCCTCAGGCTGTGTAAAAGTTTTCCCATAGTTGATTTTATTTGTTAGCTCAGTTTTTACGGGCCAAACGCGCGTCCATGTATAAATAATTTGAAATTAATTACATGTAACATGTTACTCACTGTCTGGCCATTGGTCTGTTTGTTATTTCGTGTCGTGTTTGTTCTACTCCTTTGTTGCTGTCTTCTTTTTCTCTTTTTTGTTCAGGGAGTTATAAAATATATACGACTATACGACTGACTATATATGCGTTATGCGAGCGCGAACCTGCAAAAACTGGCAATGCCAGCTGACAGTGCGGGTTTGAGGTTGACGACGATGAGGACGACCGCTGCACACAGATTTATGGCATGCAATTAACAATGCCGGACATTAAAAGCAAATACAACAAGAGTCTCGTGTAGAGTAGAAAGAGGGAAGGTGTTAAGGGCTACAAGTTATCCCTTTTCCAATTAGATGACCATTTGAGCCAGTCTGGACTTATGAAGTTTAAGTCTAGTTCGACTGTTCGAAATTTTGAATAGTCTCGCTCATAGGAGAATTAATTTGTTTCTCTGCGAATATACAAATATATAAATATATATAATAAATATATAAATATAATAAATATATAATATGTAAGCTTCCTAACTTTTGTTTAATAGTAATATTTACTCATATCTAATATTTTATAAATTAATTGCGTATTCAAGCATATGTAAGCTCTTTCTGCAAATATTTTTCAGTTTTTTAATTTATTTTATTTAATTTAAATTCAGAAAACACAAAGGTCCAAGATAAATGGAGGCACAGTTAAAAATAAAGAGATATTCTATAACAATTATGATATATGCCTTAGGAATATTCTTGTATTGTACAGGAATTGTGCTATCATTAACAATTCACTTTTTATAATAGATATATAAATGTATATTTATTAAGATCGGAAAGGTTGTCTTTCTTTGAAAACTCTGGGGCCTGAGATATTTATTTATATATATATTTTATACATAACTTTGCTTACCTTTTTACACTGCCTTTCTGCCTCTTTTTTACAGGGCATCACGAGCAGTTACAGTTTCGAAAGCCAATACATTGACAGCTAACGGAATGGACACGAGTGCACATACACACACGCACATAGAGAGACAGAGAGAGAGAGAGAGATACACACAAACAGGCGAACACACTTTATAGCATACTTTTATGGGCAACAGGAGTTTTTATGCGTTTTGCATTCGCATTGGGCTTAAATGTTTTTGAATTTAAAGTTATAATTAAAAAACTTTGGGCGCGCACGCTGTTGGCCATTTAATTGGCTCTTTGTTACGCTTGCTGTATGGCCCCAACCCTTGGCGCCTGTCCCTTTACACCCCGTTCCACCATGTGTTTGCAATTGCTATTCAATGCTGCGCTGCCATTAAATCTTTCATATGTAAATGACATGTTAAACATTCAAATAGACTTGCATAAAGTTGCATAATTGCAATTTTACTAAAGCCCGAACCACAATTTTTGCTGGCCATATAATTAAGTGGCAGTCCTTTGCTCATTTTTGGTTGCTCCCATAACTATCTAAAAGAGTATGTGCGAAAGTGTTTGTGTACGTGCGTGTATTATTTATGGGAATTATGCTCATTAAATGTAGAGCTGCAGGGCACCACTGTAAACTGCATATCGCAACAGCACAAAAGTATGCTATGAATTATTATTAAACACCGTCAAAGCAAAACCGATTTATTTTTTAATACTCTGTAGATAAGCATCGAAAAATATCGAGTTTTAAATAAAAAAAAAAATAGTAAGAAGCTTAAGTTGAAAGAGTCTGAATAAGATATACCCTGAACACCGTCTGATCTGCATTTTTAAATATTTTTATATGTATCTATGTATCTAGCATAAAAAAGATAAAGAAAAACTGACCTTAGGACACCAGGACTCGAACCAATACCCGCCAACACCGTCATTTCACTACACACGTGTTTTGCTCTAAAATTTTGCTTAACATCTATGTCACTTAACGAATTTCAATAAAATTGAACGTACGAGATATAATTTAATAACAATAAAACGGGAGTAACGGGAGAGTCTCGCTCTTATGGGTTTTCCGATCGACTTAGTTTCACGTCTCCTTCTACCTGTTACACACATTTTGACAAAACCGTAAGACCCTCAACTACCATTTTCAATGAATTCAGGGTACAACATTTTGAAGTATGAAACAAATAGTGGAAAAACGAGAACGTGTCTGCTTTGACAAGCACATGCAAATAAATTATTATATTATGCAATTCAACATTTTACTTCATGCTGAATATTTGGTTCAGAACTCAAACGTTTAAGGTCTGATTTATTATTTTCATAGTACTGCTTATGTGCAATATTCGCAAACGTAAATTCTTTCATTTGGTGTGCATTAAAGAGTCAAGAGTAGCGTTTAAACATTTGCATTTGTTTGTAGTTCGCATTATATTTTTGCTTTATTGTTGTTTTAATTAACCGCTGCAAGTTAAATTAAGACAGTAACATGACAACAGCAATAAAAAAGGCCAGCCTTGATTCAGACACACACACACACACATGCAGAGCACGCACACACACATGTAGCAAAGGGCATAAAACCACGCACACACACGTGGACCGTAAAAAATGCCGGAAATGCCGTTGAAAAAAACTAATAACCAAACGGAAATGCAGAAATGCACAGTTACATACATTTCTCTTCAATTCTCTACCTCGCTCACTCACTGCCTACCTATAGCCATCTCGCTTTGAAGGTAACAGCCATAAAGTTGCGACATTAAATGCATAACGCGAACTGACAATCCGCAAAAAAATTTAATTAATTTCATATGCACGTCGACTTTTCACTCTCTCTTCCTCTGCCTCTATCAATTTTTCTCGCTTTTTTCTCCCTCTCTATCTCTCTGTACATGTTGTAGTGCCCTTTTCTTTTTAATGTATATCCAAAGAGTAATATTTTGGCGGGGTTTATTTGTTATTTTGTTGTTTTGGCATTCGCATTTCCATTTGTGCTTGACATCTATTAAATTTTTTACTTTTTATCATTCAGTGTTCAGCTGCTCTCGTTCCGCCCTCAGTTTTTACTGGTCCGTTTGTTATTTTTATAGTCTCACATTTACATAATTAAATTTAAAAACATTATTGGTCGCATGCTTTTAGCTTTATTAATTTTGTGCTCCATTTTGTTGCATATGTCAGCATTAGGGCAACATTTTTTTCCTTCCGCTCCGAGTCGGTTCCTCAATATGTCGGGGCTCTCCGTTAATTACATTGCCTGGTAGTTCATTTGATTAATATACTGTTTTATGACAGGCAATAGACAGCGGCAACAACAACAGCTAAGTCAATGGGGAATTCATCAGTAGTCGATCAGATTTCAGTGCCTCCTGCTGTGCGAGTCCTTAGAGTCGTTGTTTCATTAATGCATTTGCTAATGTACTTTTCGTAGTCGTTTTTAATTTGTATTCATATGTTGGAAATAACCATGGTCAATTGTGCTGCCTCGCTTAAAATTGAGGGATCTATTTGCTTTATATATTTAGTATATTTTATTGATATTCTACAGTGCACTATTTATATATTGAACCTAATTTCTCTTATAAGCTTGAAGCTTGACTAATTCTTAGCTTGTAAATCAGATCTGTTTACAAATATATCAATCTTTTTAAATAAGCTTTATGTAATAGCTTACTAATTATTTTATCTTAAATAATTTAAAATTAATTTTTAATTTTTTTCATTTTCCTATATATATTTTATAGCCGTGCAACAAAGTTATCATAAGTTTCGAGTTGTCAAGTAGTTGTGAAGAAGGCTTTAAATATTATCTCATAAACTTTTACCCTATTTATTTATTTATTTTTGTATAGATTTTCTGATTTAACTATGCAACACTTGAAAATAAATATGAATTAAAAAGCTGCTTTCATTTTATGCACTTTAAAGTATGCTCTGTGCTCATTGGGCGCTGGGCGGGGCGGTTGCCTACTTATGAACTTCCACTTCAAACGCTGATTTGCGATTAAATGCGCTTTTTTTTGCTGTTGCTGCTGCTGCTGCAGCTGATGATGTTGATGCGCACTTGGCGCATGAACAAGTTGGCAAGTGGCATACAATTAATTGAAAATGTGGGCGTGGGTGTAGCAGTGGGTGTGGGTGTAGATATGACAACAACATTAAGCTCTTGGCACAACGAATGCTAAGCAATCAAAGCTTGGAAAACTTGTTTTGTTGTTTTTGTGCTTTTTTATATTAATTATAGACTAATTAACAAAATGCTTACTCAACGCAGTTCAGTCGTGCATGTGTGCGTGTCCACTGCAGTGACAGCTGCATAGCAGCAGAAGAAGAGGAAGAAATAAAACGAGAGTCACTCGCAAAGTCCATATTTAATTGCTTGCTTTTGCTGAGCGGGACAAAGTTGTTTGGATTGTCGTTTGGATTGTTGTTGCTGTGGTTGTTTGTGATATGGACTTCAAGTGAATGCGTAAATAAATGCTAAGAAAACTTTATAATTATGCTAATTGTGGCCACAAAGACAGTCGACGTTCGCAACGGCCGAGACGGCCGAGTTTGATGTTTGGCAAAAAGCTTCTTGTTTTTGGGGAAACCGCTGCAACCCAATAGCGCCAACGCCTGCAACTGTTGTACTGTATGTTGTGTGGGTCTGTCGCACTTGGACCATAGATATGCAAATGTAATTAGTTGCATGCCACAGCGGACGCACCGGACATGCAGGCGGTTACACGGCTTCAGCTATACGCTCCAGCGAAACAATTTATAGTGAAAATAGAATTAAAACCACGAAAGCAAAACATGCTAAACAAAACAACATAGCGACAGAACAATAAAAATAAAAATAAAATAAAAGCCAACAGAGAGCTAGAAGAAAGCGATAGAAAAATGTATAAAGCTGAAGAAAAATGCAAACTGCCAGACTAGGCGGGAGCGGGGGCGGGTTGCGCAGAGGAGCGGAGTCGGTCGGCTAAACCAAGATTTATATGCAACAAAAGAATTAACTTAAACAATGTTTCTTACTCGTGCATGAACGACTCATCGACACCCTGAAAACAACGTACGTAAAATGCCAAGACGTTTGCTATAGAAGACCTTCTAGGTGCGCCATCTATCGGACGGTGGATTATAGATTATATGCGTTATGGTATTTAAAGTAAATGATATCAGATTTGAACTTATCTTTACGTATGGTGTTTAAATACTAAAAGATTGAGCTTTTCTATAGATTTTACCATATATTACACCGTTCTTAATGCAAATTATTTGCTAATTTAAAGCAATGACATCTAGTGATCAGTAGAGTAAACAATTGTCGAATAATAATGGTATATGCAGTATAACTTAAACAAAGTTTGGTTATGTGCAATATATATCAATGTTGTTATTTTTATATATTTTTAATTTGAAAACGTAAGAAAACTTCCTAAAAATATTTAAAAAACAAAAAGTTTCCATGAATATTATAGACAACAAAGCCTTGAGCTTAACAAACTCCATAACCAATATTTAGTCTTGCATATACCACACGCATACATAACATACAGGGTACCACTAGAAAAAAGGCCAACATAATAAAGACGAAGCGAAAGGGACTCACGAGCAGAAGGCCAAGCGGCTAAAAAAATGTGCATAGATTTGGCCACAATGCCAGGCACACGACAGGAACCAGCGAGAACAACGTGGCTAACAATACCAACAACAGCAGAAATTGCAACAAAGAGCGCTGGCCAAGCACGACGCGTATAAATTTGTAATTCTTGATGCAACCGCAACGTTTATTAATTTAAAATTCAATTTAAAATGGCCAAGAGTCCGCCCCTAAAAGAGGCGTGAGTGAGTGTGTGGCGTGTGTATGTGTGGGTGGGTGGATGGGTGTCTGTGTGTGGGCGGAATCAATAGATTAATGCAACAGCAATTAGTGTGATCGAGCGTCTAATTGTTTTTGCCACGGCAAAAGAAATTTAAATTGTTTGCTCAGGCTAAGGTCGGGGAATTATTAATCTGATGCCAGCCACAGCCACAGCCACAGCCACAGCCACAGACAGGACCATAAAAAGTAGCAGCAACAGCAGCACTAACAGTAAAAAAGGACTCGCCATCAACTGCAACTGGACACATTCAAGTCGGAAGCACAAGAGAAAAACTCATGTTAAGAATGATAGTTGCTGTAGACGATGATATAGGGACAAGCGCCTGATTGCGTTTACGAGTTTATAGAGCTGAAAAGCAGCATAGCTGAAGAGAGGGGATGAGCTAAATGAGTGCAATTTAAGCTAACGTTAACATTAACATTAACATTAACATTTTTGACAGTCTGCGACACATGGATATGCACTATATATAATTATTTATATTGTTAAAATGAATAAATTTCAAGGCTTAAATCTTTTTATCAGTAACACGTTACATTTTATTGCTCTTCTACATTTATTTCTCATTATCTGCATAATACTTCACCACGGTCCAAACACAGCTACATTTATGCTTCAAATAATATATACATAAAATAAAATCAATTTCTTCTAGAGCATATGATAGTGCTCCATAAAACTGAGCAACATGCCAGCTAGCGAAGTTTAACGACAACTTCTTTTTTATATATTCAATAAGAAATACTTCACGAAGCTTTTATAGCTGCGACAGGATATTAACAACAGGATATAAAGTTGCGCTTATCTGGTTTTATCTCATTGTAGTTGATCTAAAACTCACTCACAATTTCGATAATGTGCTGCCCCATCTATTTTTTTTGTTATTGTTTGGCTATAGGGGAAAACTGCAACGAGCAGAAAGTGAGAAGCAGAAAAAAACTAAAAAGCAACGCGACTACAACAGCAGCAAAATGAAGAAGAAGAGGCATGAAAAGGGGCTGCACATTAAACACAACTGACAGCTGCAACATACGTCACGTGGTGTTGTCGTAAAGTTGCCGCGAGACGAGCCCCTGTAGGGGAGAATGCAAAGAAGAAGAAAATGTTGCTAGCGCAGTGTGTGGCACACACACACACGAACAAACGAACAGGACACATCGATGACTGTGGGGCATTTTTAATGGAAACTCATTTTTGAGGTTAATTGTAAGCAAAAGATGGCGCGCAAGAGAGAGACAGGGGAAGGGGGAGCGGGTTGCCAGCGACAGTTGCACATGTTACGGTGGAGGGCATGTGGGGTGCGCGGCTGGGCTCTGCAGCTGGCTCAAGGCTAAAGCTGCATTCATTGTACAAAAATATGAAAAGCACAACGTGTGGTAAACGTTGGTTGGTGGCCTGCCTGGCTGCCTGGCTGCTTGGCTAGCTGGCTGGTTGGCTGGCTGCATGCCACATTGCTGCCTGCTGTGGGGCAACTGCAAGGCATGCCACAGCAGGAGAAACAGCGGCAGATGAGGTTGATGTGCGGCATTGCGTTTTATAATGAGCGGAAGGTTTTAAAGCGGCTTGCGTTTTGTTTCATATGTTGTTGTTGCTGTTGTTGCAGCCGTTGTTGTTGCCGCTGCTCAGTTGGCCGGGCAAAACGCTTGGCATAAGTTGGGGCCCGTATAATCGGGAAAGTATGGTAATGTAGAGCACTCAAACTGTACGTCGGGCCAAACTCGAGTTGAATGTAAAAGGGAATCTAGCGGCATTTGCTTTACTTTTTCTCTCTTTTCTGCGGGGTGTTGAAAAAGTTAAAAGCTGGCTTAAGCTGTGAAAAATAATTGTTATGAAATGCCATAAAAGGCGGCGAGCGAGCAGAGCCACAGTGCTTAAAATTGGTATACAAATCAAATGCAGCTTAGCTGTTGAGTAAGTCTATATCGCTTAATGAAAGACTAGCTTACAATTTTCGCTTTGTGATAGAGCTCAAAGATCAAAGACCAGTTGGGTCTTTGCAACACAAAAGTAATAATGTTTTTTACGGAATATGCATTCAATGATGGAAACATAAAAAAGAAGGAACGTATAAGAGTATTTAATAGATAAAGTCAGTTGCCAAAACGTTGGAGTATACGAATCAATAAAAATGTTACCATTTACGTTATTAATGGAAGTGAGAGAGACAAAGAGAGAGAAGGATGAAGGGAAAGAGAGGGAGATACTTAAATTTTAACTTAGACTTCAGTCTGTAAAACATTGGCGAATAGAGCACAAAGAAGAATTTCAGATTGCTCCAGCGCTCTACAAAGAGTAAGGGTCGAGAGTGAGAGAGTTAAATAAATATACAGCAAAACAGCTATAGAACGTTGGAATATATTTCAGAAACAAGAATTTATATAAATACAGATCGCGCAATACATGGATAGAGCTTACTAATGAAAAAGGAGTACTTCACTTGTCCAATGATAAACGCGAGAGTTTTATGTCAGTAGTCCGCTTACGTCTACTAGCTGTAGGCTTCGAACACTACATAAAGCTCTTATCGATATATATTAATATGTACATGATAAAAAATTATACCATTGCTGGAAAAAAATTAAAAATCAATTAAGCTCGTTAGCTAAACAGTTCTAGTTCTCGTTCCCATAGAACTGAGCAGTAAGTTTTTCGCCCTTTGAAATGGAATGTGAATGATTACCTTTTCATGAATAACACTCATTAGCTGCGCCGCACTCAAACGATATTCAAAGCGCTAGGAATGTGCTAACAGCAAGAGCAAACAATGCTGACTACAGACTGCTGACGGGGCCAAAAGCATAAACCTCTTTGCTCCTACCTACCGGCAATCATTATTATCATCATCATTATCATTATCATCATCATCATCATCATCATCAGAGCTTGAAGTTTTGCCTTTAAGCGGCTTTAATTAGCTTCAAAGAGCAAGAATTCAAGTTCGGGCCAAAGTTAGCTGACTTTGACTGCCTTCAGTTGCTGGCTGGCAAGTGCTTAACATTTTTGTGCTGCCCTCGCATAAATGGCTTAATTGCAGGCTTAATGACAAACTACAACAACAGCAATAGTTAACAACAACTCGACGGAACAACTACAAAAGCAGAAATTTCTTTTGCCAGCTGCGCAATTACTTTAATTGTCCCTCGCATTGCTGTTGGTGTTGGAAATTGCAAATATTTATTGGTATTTATAAGCGCACAACCAACATACTCACACACACACAAGCACACACACAATTGAGTCGCTGCTTTGTTGTCGTTTATGACAATGCGTAGAGCGCAAAATTGTTGACATTTTTGTCATTTGTTTTTAGATTCTAGTGGCAATGACACACTGCCAGAGTTGTCGCTGTTCTTGTCACACACTTACATACACATACAAACACTCCCAAACACACACTTCTGCATAGCCATATGGCGAATGTTATTTATAAAAATGACAGACACTTCTATTTCGCCACATGCCACATTGCAGGTCCTTGTCATTGTTGCCCCTCCCGTCTACAGCCCTCTAACATCTTTCCGCCCCCGCCCCGCACCCCTCTACTAGCTCTCACTCACTTTTAAGCCATATGCAGAACGGAATGCTGGTGAAAAATGGCAACTGTGTCACGTCGCATGCACATCGTGAGTTTGTCACACATACCACACTAGATTAAATTATAATCGAGCTGCAGGATATACTTATGTATGGGTATCTGGGGGTTATAGGGGAGGCAGCACTGACAACTGACAGAGTGCGAGACTGGCAGATGCCCTGTGCCAGTAGATGATATAAAATCAAGTGGAGCTGTAACATGTTAAGTTTGCTTTCTTGAAAGTTATTCTACATATTCGGCAATGTTTATTGGAAATCTACTACATTTAGCCGTTCAGATATATATAGTCAAACAAAAGAAAGGGACTACGGAAGAAAGCTAATGTAAGGTAGGAATATTTCATATCTAATTGATATATGCTCGTATTATGATACTTGTAGATGAAGTTGTATATTTCATGTTTTCTAGTCTATTCTTCTCCTTTATTCTGTTCAAGTTATTGATATCTCCGTTGCAATATACAGCTTCTTAGCTACACAGCATACAGGGTATATAAAAAGCCCCAGCAGTAGGCACCCCCCCTGCACTCCACCCGCTTTTAGTCTCTGTTCTTTTAGCCATTTGCATCTACAGCTGC